GGTGGAGAGGATTTTAAAAAACACACAGTAACACTTTACACGAGAAAATGCACAAGCAGTATTTAATCTGAGTGAGTTGGAAAGTAGAAAAAAAATACACAAACTATGCGGGCGATAAGAAAGTAATCATTTATCACATTAAAATAAGGAAATGTGAGGGATTAACAATTGGGCCGCCGATACTGGAATAGACAGGAGAGGGAGAGGATAAGGCAAACAGAAAGGGGAACTCACAATCACAGTGCACTATAACAACAATTACAGGCGACAGACTGACTCAAATTCACTTCCAGATAGCGACATTAGTTGAGCTCCCCTTCACATTTCCCTCCACGTCTACATCTACGAGTCATCTAAGAAGATAAATGAGGAAATAGAAGTGACAAGTCGGTGCTGCCACCGCCTCTGATTGTCCACATTTCAAACAGAAGTAGCAAAGCACTTCTTTCAAAATGGGCTGAGAGAGAAGGAGAGAAGGAGGGGGACTTCAACACTGTTAAAAATACAATGTGATTTTTTTTTTGGTCAATGTCAACAATGAACAAAACGAGTGGAACAACTGCAAAAATAACTCACTGGCTCGGCATGAAAGAGACAAAGCGCACAAACAATTTCGCACTTTTTTGGGAAAAGCCATCAGTTTTCATAATACTGGATAGTTTGGGATTTTATGCCATCATTAGAGCTGAACTGTATGTTTTAATGATCATAATACTGTGAGCTAATTGTCCAATATAAAAAATCTAAATAGATACCATTGGTACCCACCTGTACCAAGCATTGGTGAGACATTCACACTGAAAGTGAGTAAGTGGGTCTTTAAATCACATTGTTAGTAGCCAGTGGAAAGTGACGGATAAAAGGAATGTAAAAGAGTTAGAGAGGTGGATGATAAAATACTTAGAGAGCCCTGTGAGAGAGTTTCCTGAATGTAAAAGAGACAGAGAAACACAGAGCAGCAAAGGGGGATGAGCGGCAGGAAAAATGAAAGAGGGGTATCAAACCTGAAACCGCATTAACAATTTTGGCAAACGGATGGGAAGAAAAGAGGGGTGCTAAAGAAAAGCAGGCGGGTGAGATGTGGCCCGTCACGTTCATGGCGACGTTGTAATCTACAGAGTCGCTCCTAAATCTTTGGATGGAAGAGCTAACAGACAGACTTTTAGAAGCGAGGGTTTTGCAGCGAAAGACAATTACCTAATGTCTGAGAGACAATGAGTTTAGGGGGCGAGGGAGTCACTCATTTCCATTTCTAATGATCGCACACACAAAGACGTGCACACGCACACGCACGCACACACAGGTAAAAAAAAAAAAGAGTGTCTGCTTCTGTAAAGTCATTTCGTTTTTCCTGCTGGAATTACTGGCTTAACCGTCTGCGAGCTAAGTGACGCCGAAGATGTTAATGGAGGTCACAAATAGTCACCGGTAATTAACAGCACACACAAATACGGCGGCACACGTACAAATGAAGCAACATGATCCCTCCCACGCAAACACACACCTACATACACAGACAGAGAATTACGCAAAACTCTAAAAAATGTTTTCTCATTGAACGCTCAGAGGGACGCGAAGAACTGAGGCTGCTCTAATGCTTCAGACGCAGGAGATAAATGATACGGCCCTGAGCACTTCCTCCAAGAGACATGCGGTCCGTAATGATTCAAACAGCATCAAGGTTTCCTCCAGCATACGTTGACCTTGCCCAGTTTAAAGGACAATGTTTCATCTCAGAATCTGACTCATTGGATTTTTTTGTGTAAGTGCTTGCATCCAAGTGAGGTTTAAAGCACTGGTGGACTCAGGGTTCACCCCCAGTTTGTGCCCTCATGTTCAAAACAAACACAGCAAAACAGCCCTCTTGGACACCCCTATGGTAGATCAAATATGATGAAGTGCCCTCTAGGATGCCCTTCCAGTGGAGAAAACATGATAATGTGCCCTCTAGAGTGCTCTATCAATGGAGAAAACATGATATAGTGCCCTCTAGAGTGCTCTATCAATGGAGAAAACATGATATAGTGCTCTCTAGAGTGCTCTATCAATGGAGAAAACATGATATAGTGCCCTCTAGAGTGCTCTATCAATGGAGAAAACATGATAAAGTGCTCTCTAGAGTGCTCTATCAATGGAGAAAACATGATAAAGTGCTCTCTAAGGAGAAAATATGATGAAGTACCCTCGAGGACACCCCTCCAGTGGAGAAACCCTTATAAAGAGCTGTCATAGGTGCCATCCACTGGAGAAAACATGATGCTGTGCACTAATGGGTGCCCTTAAATGGAGAAAATGTGATGCAGTGCCATAAAGGCTGCCCTACATGCTAGAAAACATTCCGCATTCTGGTGCCCTTTTTATTTCATTTTTTTCCGCCCCTGCCCCTCAGATCACCTCAGTCCGCCACTGGTCCATACGGATTTAACAACATGGGCTGTGACTGGAATGCAGACCATGGTCGAGCCACAACAGCACTGTGCATCATTAGGGATGGAGATTGATATCGGTTGGATCTTTCCATTTTGATTTTGTTCCTCCTCATCTTCTGCGTTTTTGAGTTGCAAAAGCTGAGTGCAATTCCACACGAGCAGCCGAGGTCATGCATCATTAACCGCAATAGAAAGTCCAATCTGTTAAGGTTTGGGTAGTGGGAGTGGAACATATAAAGTGAGCAATTAGGTTATAACTAGTGAAGTTATTTTAGCTTTTTTTTTGCACAGGCCTCAATGACTGCAGAGAGCGGCAACACTGTCGGAATCAAATTGAGTCCACTTGAGCCGGTCAACCTGCTACTCTAACGAAGCTATCAGCAGAGGGCCTAATAACTGCTCTGTGGTAGAGATGTGGAGCATGCTGCATTCATGAACAGGTTCTACTTGAATGCCTCACTGACTCAGAAGGATGAGGATCATTGTATTACTTCCTTGACATTTTGATGCACACAATGACACACTGCCAATTCAGAGTGACACAGAGACCCAGAATTAACCCTAAGGTTGGTCTGAACATCAACATGCATCATCTGAACCGGCCTGGCTCTGCTCATGAGTCGTTTACGACACAGTACTGTATTTCGTAATCTCAGGTTCAATGTGTTTCAATGCTACCAATTGAATTCATGTGAAGTTTCTGTAACACTTTCTAAGATCCCCATGTCTATACTGCATTATAAACATACTAATAATGCGTTATTACCTGCTTATAGCACTGAGTAATTATAGATATAAGCACTCCTGAATATTCAAAATACTTTATAAAAATAATCAAAACACAATAAAAAGGAAAGTACATTATAATACATTATTAATTAAAGTAAAAATATTTTAAAAAAATGTCATGTGTTGTTTTTGCATAGGTTAGATGATATTATTTATTTATTAATTGTGAATATTAAACAGTTATAACTATACCATAACTACCATGCTATAAGGAGATTATAACACATTAAAAGTATGTTATTATAATACTAGGTAATTCTACAGCTCTAGCAGTGATGTGTGCACACTCTGGCCTTCCGTGAAACTCTAATATCAACGGTCAAATGCAGGTTGAACTCGTCTTCACTACCCTGCCTCACATGGGCTTTGTTTGTGAGCGTTCTATTTTTCTACAAACATCCCCCTCACAACCAACAGGATTCCCTGGCAAAACGGATAGACTGCAGCTTTTTTAGCCTGAGGGGAGGGGATGACTAATAACAGCAACAGAATACTGAAGCACAGCATAAACATCAGCTAAGCTACAACAAAGCAAATACACAAGCCATAATGCATCATCTAGTCAATAAGGAAGTCTCTGTAATATGCACATTGTAAATCCCTTCCTTTGCAACTGGGGACATATAAGAACATTATATTTATATAGAACCTGACTGTGCTAGTAAACCTAATGTTACAGCAATGTTTTTGTCTGCTTTTCTGCCTTTAGTTGACAATCCTTTCTGAATTCTGCCGCAAACTGTAAAATGATTAATCTGAGGAGGGCTCTCACGCTCAGTACAGTAATGATGTCGTGGAAAACTGAGCATGCAAACTCCGCCTTTTTCCCGTTTACAACAAACGTTGCATAATCCAGGCTTGTTTGAATACAAAGATTATGGTTTATTTAACAGCCTCTCAGAGAAATTTGTGTTTTCTTCTTTTATTCCGGGAACACTTGAATGTTATCTTATGTAATGTAATCTTATTCATGTCGCTGCGATGTGGTCAACCATTGACAGCAACTGTTTCCTCTGCCAACGATGCAGTATGATCGGTGGTATTGGTCAGTGGGCAGTTATGCTAAGCCTCTGCCAACACAGCATGGTTAAAACACTTTGAAACATAGCCTGTGTGCAAAATATCTGCTTGTATTTATCTATTTCATCTCTATTCCAATAAACGATGGACTGTCCACTGCTTACAGTCAAGAGAACAACGTATGCGTGATACCTACCGGTTGATCGGCCCTGTTGATCCCCACCAGGAACAGTGACTCTGCGATGAAGAGGCTGATGCAGAGGTTCTTGTGGATGGTGTTGCGATCACTCTGCAGCCCGCGGAAGAAGCAGAAGGTGAAGATGCAGATGAGCAGGCACACCAGCGACAACAGGATCCCGACCCATGTGATGACGTCCAGCAGCAGGTCGTGCATGCTGTCCGATTTCTGTGGCGAGAGAAGCGAGAGACGAGCTTGTTGTGGATTCATTCGATTCGCCATTTGCAGCCACTATATTTAGCTATGTGTTTCGCTCGGGCTTGCTAGAAACATACACGAGTCATGTTGTTGTGACATGAAACATACTGTAGGAACAGACACACTTCCTCATCCCGTCCCCTCCCCTCACTGAGTCTGTGGTACTGAGCGTTCAGGGCCACAGCGGTACGCCGAGTTGCACAGGTGTGCCGGCTCTATCCATCAGTGTCCCCGCAGCCTGGCAGGCGGAGCAATGTTCAACATGGCGCCGGTGTGATGGATCTACTGCCCAAACCCCCACACTGTGTACACAAAAGGGCCGCCGAGCTAGCTCTGACCATGACCCCTTCAGAAGTAACACACGTCGGCCGCCGGCCCGGAGGGAGAGATCGGGTGTCAGGCGACATCCAGAGTTACGAGAGACAATTTTTTTGAGGGAGGAACTTAACGTTACAAAAGAGAGGAGACAAAGAGGGCTTATCCCACACGCAGCGGGACAATAAGGTTTTCATCCGCTGTGGGTTCATGTGGGCTCATGGATATCAAAATAAATGGGCCACGTTCACCTTCTGATCAGTCATTTTCACAATAAAATAGGAGCTGCAGCTTTTGTCTTTCTCATCTCTGTTTTGGAACCTCCAGACACTGAATGTTTGAAGTGCATTTTTTTTTTGTCAACCCAATGTCATCATCTGGTTTGACGAATCAATTGTAAAGAGTTTCTCCTGCCAAGTATGATTACTCAGTACTGGAGAGTCTGGAGAGGTCTAATCTATTTTCGAGATGTTGTGGTTTCCTTCCCCCCCCCCTTTTTTATTTTTGAATCTGTTGACCAGCCTTCGCCAGCCACCGCTGATCGAACGATGAACAACTGACTCTTTGATCCCGCCCATCCCCGGCATGGAAGGCGCCGCAGTGTGAACGCCTACCTTCACTTCCACGTGGGCCATGAGCACCGCGAAGCTGGTGAGGTGTGTGCAGGAGCAGGTGGTGTGCGTGCGATTGGTGGCCAGCAGACGACAGTCCTGGGTAGACCAAAATCCCGTCATGGTGCGCTTGGAGTAGCTCCAGAACGAACAGTTGGGATTGAAGTTCTCTTCCGAATGCTGGGGGCGAGGGAGGGAGGGAGGAGAAGGGAGAGGGAGAAAGCGAGAAGGCGGGGGGTGGGAGGGGGAGCAAGGAGGCATGGAACGGATATTTAGTCATGGGGAGGTGGGAGGTAGAAAAGATGGAGCGCCGGGAGAGCCAAGGAAAGTGAGAAAGCGGTGGGAGGAATTGGTGGAGAAAAGGATGGAGAGGAAGGAACACAGAGAGGGGAGTCAAGCACACACAACAACAAAGCAACAAACAGAAGGGACAGAATGCAGCAACAAATAAACACGGAGCCGTGGCAGGAGGCGGCGGCGCCGCGTCCGTGATTGCTGTGTGAGATTCTGAAGTGTAGGAGCCGCTTGTGTTGTGTAAACTGATGGAGCTGTGTGTGTGTGTGTGTGTGTGTGTGTGTGTGTGTGTGTGTGTGTGTGGTTTGTAAAGTTACTCTCAAAATGAGCAAGTGAAACAGAGAGGATTTCTTTGCTGCCAACAAGCTGGATCACCAACTGGATCAACATTTGCTTGGTGAATGAGCAACACAACATACAAAGTGTTGCATGGAGCACCGCAATTCCTACAGTATCAAGCAATGTGGCATCATACCCTTATTCAGTCTGTAGCTGTGGTCAATACCGGAGCTGTTCCTGTGTCATTTGGGGCAAGTCAACGTCAATCAAGTCTGGTAGTGTGAAAAGGATTTCACAATTCTTGTTCAGAAAAGCGCAAGTCTTTCAGATCGCTAAACAATGACGCAGCATTATAACATTTTCTTGTAATAGGTCCATTCATTTACTTATGACCACAGCTATAAAAAGCAATTTGAAATGTCATAATTTTTGTGAGTCTATCAGTCTCAAGTCTAGAGTCTATCAAAGGATTTTGTTATTCAGTATTGTTCTTATTGTCAACAAATTCCATGAAAAGGACCAAACCCAACATTAGTCCATTAGTCAGTACTTTCTGACTTCCCCAACCTGTTTGTGGCACTTAAGCCCGGGCGACTCATAACCTAATCCTTAAACAGCTAGGGCACTGTGGGTTTCAGCAAACGTTACTAAAACAAGAGTAAAAAGTCCTTTTTATGGGAACTATTCTCAGCTGTGGATTAACACACAATTGGTGCTCTAGTGAGTGTTTATATCACCGGGACGGCATGTGTGGGAAATTGAATCGAAATACAGTGCAGAGCCAATGTCAACCAGTTCAACTGTGTGGCACATTTATGTGTTTCTTAAGTTTTTGGGTGGCAGTGGAGGTGTATGGCAGAGTGGAATAAAGTACAAATAAAGTACAAATTAAATTAAAAAATTAAAAATAAAAAATTCTTATCATCTCCACCGGGAGGATTGTGCGATCGGTCGTGTGTGCGTGTGCACATGAGCGAGTGTGCACCTCTGTATCTGTCCACGGCTAATCTTGTATTCTGCTGCACTAAACTGCGGAATATTTTGAGTGGCCAAAGACCTCTCATGGTTGCAGCGACTCACACTTTCCCTGTTCTATACTGCCATTACGATGCCTTTCAGCCCATTGGTCTCTAGAACAATAGTGGGTTGAATTCATTCTATCACACAATACTGCAGTGGTTTTTGCATACACACCTGATGGAGATCTTCACTCAACTGAGGCCACCTTTCTAGATATGTATTAAACCACAAATTGAGCTCAATAACTGAAAAGAACAGTGTAAAAATAACCATTTGCAAATATGAGCTGTGCAAATTTAATCTGTAATACTCACAAATATATTGGCAAAAATAGAGAGCAATGTCAATCAAATATATAAATGAAGGATAACAATAAAGAGTAAACAATAGTGTAAACTGACAACAGCCTTATTGAGCCCTACAATGTAAAAATAGTCACAAGGGAGTACACTAAATTGTGCTTGTTCAAAGTCATAGTGATGCCGTTTAAAGTATTTGTACTTTATTAGTACTTCACTGCTTGCCCTATCCTTAAAGAGCAACTGCATTTTTACTTCAACATTACCACCATTGGGTTTCTTGACCCAGTGCAGCACTCCCTACTTTTTCTTAATGGCTTCCGCTACACAGACACTATCTATCTGCCTTATCCTTTAACCTCCACTTTAGTCCCATTATCTCACCTAAAGTTATCCTTTCATTGATCGCAAAAGAAGTCGTCAACGTGGCATCTCCCTCACCTGCAGGTGTTTGACAGTGAAGATCACGGGCTCGGACAGGTACACCTTATTGCTCTCCTTGTTGATGGACACCGTGATGACCGGGGAGTTGACGATGACGGAGTAATTGGGGTAGACCGCCTCGCTGCCCAGCCGGACGCTTGCGTTCTCCGTGGACAGGTAGGCCCCTAAGTTCCTGTACATGACGAAGGCCATCCTGATCTCCCCTGTGAGGAGAACACACGGGAAACAGGGAGGAGGTTCGGTTATCGTCGGCTCAATGCGTGACGACAGAAATAGACGGCGGATGTGAGAAAGAAACATTGCAAGACGGTTGGACAGAGATAAGGAGGGGGGGGGGGGGGTCACAGACTTCATAGCGAGAGAGAATGTGAGATTTCTCTTCTACCGTTTCTGCCGTGCTGCTTGAGGGTGCTGGCTGACAGCTGGATGGCGTTTCCATGTAGCTCTGACTGAGGGAATGTCAGGTCGGCAAGGTTCCCCTCCGTGCTTAGCCTGGCCACTTCTAGCTCTGGAACACACACACATGAACAGACACACACACACACACACACACACACACACACACACACACACAGACACTATGTCAAGCCATAGCACAGCACACATCAGGTTTGTTTTGCAGCCTCTTGTAATAACCATGTTTTCTCACTAAGTGCTTCACAGCCGAACAAAGAAAAAAAAGTCTGACACACATCAAAGTGAAATAACTTCTGTCTCCAGGCAACTGGGTCCAACACATGGAGGTATATAATCCAGCCTCCCTCTTGCATCGTGGGAATCACATTTCTCCATCCAGGTTCGTTAGCACATTTTCCGATCACGGCGTTGTAATGTATTAGAGTTTCTAATTAAGGACTAATTACACCTCCGTCGTATCGCTTGTGCTTCTGAGTGATTTGGTGATTTAGACACTGCTTTCAGGGTAAAAACAGCTCCTTGATCGAATAAACAACACAAGGACGTGCTCGGATAGAAATGAGAGCGGAGGAGCAGGGGGAGTGGAAGGAAAGGAAGTTGAGGAGGTGAGGAAGAAGAACTAGAGAGAGGTAAAAAAAAAAAAAGATAAGAAAAAAAAGGGTATAGTGAGAGCAGAGGACTAGAGTGGCGAGAAGACTGTATCCTCCCATAGGGTACAACGGATAGGGCACAAAGGCAAGAGATGCTGAGGCCTGGGAGAGGAGGAAATGGATGCAGAGAGAAGCAGGCAGGCAGACATAAACACAGACACTGATATGCAAATACTGGCAGAGAGGAAGAGAAACACTGCTCAAGTGTGCCTTACTTGTGCATGAGCCAAGCTAAACACACATGTACATACACACACACACACACACACACACACACACATCCACGCCCACGCTCAAGCAGCGGGGCATCAGAAACACGCTGAGTCTAATCTAATTAAAGCATCCTTGTCATGACGATCCTCCTCCGAAGAAACACACTCGTTCATTATCGTTATCACACGTGCACGCTGTTACCGCTGTGTTATCCCTTCAAATCATTGTTTTGGTTCTAATAATAACACCATTTGTTCATCTGCCGGGTGCTGCGGCGCGCAGTCACACAAACAAATCTAACATAATAATATCACCTGTAGTGGCTTCTTTAAAACATGTCATTCAAGATAATTTATTCCCTTCGCTCAGTCTGCACTGAAAGAATTGGAAAATGGGGGGCTTAAAAAAGTGCAGGGAGGAGAGTGGCGAGGGAGGGAGGGAGAGACAGAGAGAGAGAGAGAGAAGGAAGTGAGGATGGGAGGAGAGAGATGAGAGGCGGTTGTGAATAAAAGGGAGAGATAATCACACTGGATCTGCCCACTGGATTAGCTGGGAGGGAAGATTAACGGCACAAAAAAGGAGAAGACGATAATTTCCACAAAAAAGATGGTTTCCTCAGAGATGTGCTATAGCCTACATCTCGATGACTGTTTATGTAACTTCATGTGGTGCGTTCAGGAGGGGAGGGGGTATCGGTGGAGACGCAAGTCTAAAAATTATGTAAGGTGAAATTGTGTAGGACGGCAGTTGCTGGGAATGAACCGTTGCTCCTAAACTCAAGGGACAACGAGACAAAGTCATGTTGTGAGGACTGTACAATCTGTCTCCGCTGTCTGTCTGACAGAAAGAGACATACTGTAATGTTATCGCCCCGTCGTGTGATTTAAATAGATGTGATTTCATTGGCTACTGATGCGAGAGTGAGCAGAAAAAAAAAAAAAGAGCCTCAAAGCATCATTCGACATTCCACCACCGCCATCACCCTCAAGCACACGCTCATCCACTCTTCTTCTTTCCTCATCATCCTCCGTCCCGCCGCTCCTCCTTCATGACTTTTCATCTCTTAAGTGGGTTGTGCGCACGAGCCCAGTGAATGTGGAGATGAATTGCAGGAACGTTTTGAAATCTCAAATCAGAAGTGGAGTAAACAGGAAGATGATGAAGGGGGAACATAAGTGATTGCAACTTTACTGGTCATGGGTGCAGATGAAAACCGTCGACTAAAAGGCCCGAAAAGAGGGCTTTTGTTCTCCGGCGTTTCTGCCTCATTCTATGGCCCGATGATGAGAGGATCAGTGAGGAGAGACGCAGGGAGGAGAAAGAGAGAGGACGGGGGGAAAGTGATGTGCACAACGCCATAATAACCAGCTTTGTTCTGCTTTGTCAATTCCGCCTACAAGCTGAGGGAGGCAAATATGGGGAAAATAAATAAATAATAATTCTTGTCCCTGGTAAACAATTCATCCCTGCCTTAGGCCATCTTTTTTCCCTTTGCATTTTGTCAGATGAGGATGGGTCTATGTGGATTTGACCCTTCAAAATCATTCACACAACAACCTTTACCTCTTCATTATGACCTCTGTTTGACAGCTCGACAAGCTCTACATAATAAAGCAGGCGCGTAGAGCTGGAAATACATTCAGTCCACTGAACATGTTGTCTTGGTGCCATAAATGTCTGGCAAACGCAATCACAGCTATATTTATTTTAGTTATTATTAGTTTCTTTTATTTTCTGAGAGTTATTACATTTTTAAAATTCAGTAATATTTTGGCACAAATTTGTAACTTTTCTCAGTCAGGGGCAGACTACCAGTCAATGGCGGCAGGCTAGAGCCTGTGTTTTAGTAAAAGAGTTGTGACATTGACTAAATACATTTCCTCAGAATCCTATGATTATGTATATTATTCATATAAATAGCCCATTCACCACTCTTTATCATACTGTGATATAAAACCGGAAGTTGTTTCCGTTATTCAGAATTGAAACGTTAAAACGCGGTTATTGCTGACGTCCCTTTAAAGGTGCAACAAAAAAAATAGGGTATACCCTTTTTGGTTGATGGTAAAACCTTTTGTAAAGGTTCCACCTGGAACCCTTTCAGAGGGGTTATACCTAAAACCACCTGTGAATGGTTCTACCCAGAACCCCCTATGATGGTTTCTACTGTTGTAATGGTTCTACCCAGAACCCTCTCAGGAGTTTCTATGCAGAAGCTCTGCACCTTGTAAGGGTGCTAACAAGAATGCATCTCGGGGTTCTTCCCTTTTATATTACAAGGGTTTCATCTAGAACCCAACCAATGGATTCTATCAAGACCCCTTTCTATATTCTAAGGGTTTCATCAATATCCCTTAAGGGCCGGGCTGATCCCACAACAATCATGGTTCACAATCACAGTTTTTTTGGGGGGTATTTTGGCTGGATTGTGGGCGTTCCTTTTTAACACCCATGCTTTTAACAATCATTGAAGAACTCTTCCTTCCAAAAAGGGTTCTTTGGATGAAATGGGTTCTTAATGGAACCTTTTGTGTCACAAAGAACCCTTGGAAAAAAACTTTCTTCAGAAGCAAATGGTTCATGGGAAGAACCTCAGCTCTTCAAGAAGAACTCTTTTGGAAGCCTCATTTCTAGGGGTGCAAAAATATTTTACACTTGTGTTTCAGTCTGAAATTCTTCTTGTCAGAACAATATCTCTAACCTAAAATCGACATAATATAAACATACAATCACATAATGCCATAAACATGTTGACATCTTTATCCAATGATTGTATGGGCCTGGTGCAGTTTAGCTCGGATTCATGCGGTCACACTACAAGCTAATCTTGCATGCGTTTCTCTCTTAACCACCTAAGCTGTAAAACAATAGGATTATTCTGCCCCACTTCCATTCATGACTACTCGTGTCCGTTCTCATGAATAGAACGCGTGTGGGTAACTGCGCACATGAGGGATGGTGATACAATTCGATGCACTGTGAAGTTTTACAGTGTACTTTGTTTCTGGTTTGTATTATAATGTAAGACATAGATCTGAGGCGGCGGGTTCAGTAATGCCTGCTGTCAGCTTTGCCTCTTACTTTGATATTACATCATATTCTTAGATCTTCAGCAGCCTGGGCTGGTTAACGTTATTATAGGATCACTAAAAGGAAAAAAAAAGAGAAGAAAGAAAGAAAATACTGTGAAATCTAAGAACCATATTTATGCAAAATGAGAACACGTCGTAAAACGCTTCCTTATATTGCATTGTAATCGGGCAAAGTCAACAAAATAAAAAATGTTGTTTCAGCTGAGCCATACTTTGTGCTCCTATAATTTAACACCTGAGGAATGCCCATTCCAGCCACACTGTGTAGCTTCACCGGAGCAAATGGAGGTTTAAGTCTCTTGCTTGGGGGAATCTCAACAGGCTCCTTGACGGTTGCAAGGTCCAACTGAGTTTGGAGGACAGGAAGGAACCAAAAAAAAAAGACATTTTACTCACGGATGTTGTCAGTGGTCTCCTGCACAGTGTCAGTCTTGAGGAGGTTGTCAGCTAACATAAAAGCCCCAGTCTCCACCGTGTCGAGGAGAAGAGTGGCCGAGTGTAGCTGCCCGCTGATGGGCAGTTCCCTCCACGCCGCCTGGGCTCTCGGCTGCAGCAAATTATTCACCGTCTCCACCATAGCCTGTGGCAGCAGCAGAAAACATGGCGGTCACACGGAGGAAGCCACTGCTCACACTTTTATCACTTTCGGAAAATGACGCTGATGTAAAAATGAATGCAAACCCATTCACAGTACAAATAACATCGTTACACCACAACTACTGAAGACAGCAGTGGGATGCAACAGTGAGAATGCAGTGGCTTTTCATTTATCACGTTGATAAATTATGACGACAGCAAAAAAGAAAATGTTAGCGGTGCAAAATGCGGCATTCCCATGCAGACGTTACAAAGGCAAAAACACAGAAGCTGTTAAATAAAAAGTACAGTTTTGAAAATCACAGCACAGTTTGATTGCAGCCGTGGCGGGGGCATTTCTGTAGCGCATTACAGAAACGGCCAGAGCTTTGGTTGGCTCGTTGGGCACAAGCGTGCACACTTTCACTACTTCTATTCTCTCTCAATGCACAGCTGGTTCTGGCTGTTAGTTATTAACGTAGAGTTCACTCCCCGCCGCTGGCAGACTACTTTGCCGGGAGCAGAGCAGACGGGAGCTCCGGAGGAGAAGCTTGCCAGTGGCAGGGAGTGAGGCGGAGGCTGCACTAGCGAGCTAATGCTAATTCTTGTCTTATTTGTGGTCTGATAAACAGTACATCAGTCCATCAACGTACTTAATGGTGTGATGAAAGACACACAACAAATGACAACAGACAACAAACCAAGATGGGCTTCATTCATATGTTATGACACTGGTCAATAGTTATCTTGTGTAGGCTATGTGAGGATGTTATTAAATGATCAGCATCAATGGAAGTTGAATTGCTTGCGAGAAGCGAGCTAGCTTTGTTAAAATCAAGTTAAGTAATTTAAATTAATTATGTTAATGTAACTCTCAGCCAAGTTAGCTTAGTTTGTCTCACATGTCTCATCAAAGTCACAAATATTGTTGAAAATAAATTAAGAATTTGACAAAAAGTGAGTTAAATTGTACTTCAAGCCGAATGTAATACAACAGGACAATAACGTTTTCGTTCCACGTGAACCAATGATCTACTTGGAACGCCTTGCCGCAGCTGCAATCAGACCAGTCTCGAAAATCAAGCTAAGCTAATTAGCTGATTGCAATCACCATGTGTCTACACCCCCAAACCTGGTTCATTTCGGTCTACATTTTCTTTATTAAGCAACAGTCTTATCTTTGAGTTGAAAAAACTTGTGCTTGAGGATCTGAGAAGAAATGAGTGTTTTATCAGATAATGTCTGCTGGGTCGTATCCAGACGCGCACAGCGGTTTTGAATCCAAAAATATTACCAAACGGAGAAGAGTTGGCTCGCGTGGATGAATCGCTCCCCGTGTAACAATACTTATTTTGTCTCCGGCTCACATTCCTTTATGCTCTTAAGAATTCACCTCCTCATTTTCAGACATGAACACCACACACACACACACACACACCCACACACCCGTCTCAAAAGACCCTGGGAGAGATAAAGAAACTGAGAGAAAAGAGAGCCGGTGGAGAAGGGGGGAGAAGAAGGAGAAAGAGGGGAGAGCCTTGGGAGAGCGATAAAACAGTCCAGTGAGTCCGTGGTGACAGGCGTCCGCTGGGAACAGGCGCGGGGGGGGAGCGAATACAGGTGCTATCAAACGCACACATCTCACACTGCCTGACTGTCTCTTTATTTTGTCTTTCTACGACTGTAAACCACTGTCCCTGCGAACGCATTACCATCCCTCACTTATCTCTCGCTTTTTCAGCGCTTCTCCCCCCTTGAGGAGGAGGGAGGACGGGATGGGGAGGTGAAAATAAAAAGGAACGCAGGTGCCATTATACAAGCAAAGGGGGGGGGGGGTCGTCCAGGGGAGAATTGCAAGGGCGAGGAGGAAGAGTGAGAGACATCGGTTTATTGGTGTTCACAAATTAACCATTTGACTTCCCTCTCTGCCCCTTTTCCACTCAGGGGTTATGGAGAAACGAGAGAGCAGGAGGGGGAGGGAAGAGATGCAACAGGGATCGTCGAGAAGTCAACATTTTGTGTGTGTGCGCAGCGGGTACAGAAAAAGCGTCCCTGGATAGAAAAAATATTGTTGTGCTACAAAACGTGCGGTTGTCCTCTGGAATCAGAGCTAATCCCACCTGTTTATTTTTGAGGAGTGTGACATCCACATGTAGATACAGTAAACATCACACACATGATAATGATAATGTTATGTCCTCTTTTAGCACTAGCAGCTAATTAGCTGGAATGCATATCGGATGAGTTTGGGAGGGCTACATGTAAACAAAAACTAATTAATCAACTGCTTCAGCAAACAACCAGAATAAGCAGGAGTGGATATGAAGCGCACACACGCGGGTATACACCCAGCTACTCGTTTCTGTCTCCATCGTTTTCATTGGCTGTGACAGAAGACTACGATGCTTCTTTAAACAAAATAACCAAACATTCTCTTGTTCCAGATTTTATGCTTTTCTGACTGAATTTTGCAATATTCTCTGACAGTTTATTACCAAAATGAGAATAATTAATTAAAATAGTTATGAAAAATAAAAAAGAATCATTAGTTGTAGCCCTGGTGGATGAACACTGTGAACAGTATTATAATGATTAATACTTTCTGTATGTACTTCCAATGATAGCCATTTTTTACACTATCTTCTGCCATTTTACATGCATTTTGTCCACTATATTTTATCAAATTACCCTAAAGTACAGCAAGCAACTTGTATTATAAAACAATGTGGATAGATCAGTAAGCTATGCAGTAAAAAGTTTGAACGGAACCCGGAGTGGATTGAGGGGCGGCGCACGAGACTCGCCGAACAACGTACAAACAGGTGAAAACTAGCTTAGCCCACTTACCACGCGGTGTAATAAAAGATAAAACAACCACGGTGGTTGTGTGCGTGCGTTCGTGCGCGTCTGTGTCTGCGCGGTGTGCAAAAGCTATTGCATTTTGTACACATCCTGCTGTTGATTTTACAATAGGTGTCGGTCATTTCAGTCGCTTAATATTTTTCTTCAACCCGCCGCGGTGCGAATAGATTTTCTATTTATTGATTTAATTGTGAGCTTTTATTATTTTTTTTCTGGTTGTGCAATTGATAATTAGTTGCATTGTACAGGCTGCAGAGTGCTCTTAATACTAAATAAATTAATCCTATTGTTGTTTTGGACAGTGGGGTGATGTGTAGTCCTATATGTTGACTTGTAACTCCCTTCACCCCTCTTTCCCCCTTTATTTTTTAAATATAAGGCTTTACCCAGAGTACATTGGAACTGATCTACTTTTTTTACACAAATGATTTAAATGTACTTGTACTCGAGTAACAGCACATTTAACATCAGTAACATATTGTACATTTTCCATCCCTGCCCAAAACTTTTGGCAACAATTCCACAATGCATTTCTGATATAAATGATGGCCCAAACTCCCAATTTGTATGAAACAAGAACTTCTTTGTTAGCTTCTTCTTCTATTAAGGGGAATTGTCCATTTTAATCTGTGCTCCAATGTGATGTGAATGGATGAGCCCATATACAGTGACATAAACATTCCATACATCAAGTGTTTTTGTATGTGCTGGTATGTGTGTTGGCATTAAACTGTGTGTGTGTGTGTGTGTGTGCCTGTTTGAGGGCGTGCACAAGGGGCGGGAGAAGCATTGCAGCGCATCATTCTGCTCCACTTGCTGTACAGTAGCAGCTCAGGCTGACGGAGAGAGAGAGGAGAGGGGTGCTCTGTGGGGCTCTGCTGATATGACGGCAGTGCCACTGCTTTCTGTTCGCTTAAGTTCACTTTGATGTGTTTTTAGATAAACCCCCCCCCCCCCGTCTCCTCTCTACTCTCATTAAACTTTTTTCATTGCCTTTCATTGAACTTTTGATTATCTCACATTTTCAATTTCATATTATTTTTTTCATTGAAATTTAATTCGCTGGGCGCGGAGATTGGGATCTGGAGAGGAAGAGAGAGAGAGAGATAGGTAAAGGGGAGAAGAAGGGGTGTGATTTCCTTGAGGTCCAGACATTTCCACATCAGAAACTAGAAGATGGAATATATGTGTTTGTGTGTGTGTGAGCTCTGGTGCCTGTTGGTGACATTTCTATCAAGTATGAGGACTTGAGGGCTAAAATGGAGACAGGTTTTTTTTTTTTTTTTAGAGGTCTTCAAAGAGAGGAGAGACTCTGCAGGGACAGATAAGGGTGTCGTTTTGTGTGCGTGTGTGTGTGTGCGCGCGTGTGTGTGAGACTATGTATTACAGAGTAGGCATGTGCACTTGCTCACACACACACACACACACAGACATGGGCGCCAGTAAATGGGGCAGAAGTGAAATGCTTTGAAGCGTTGGGGTAATCCAGCGTAAACAGCAGTGCCAAGACAGACTGGAGCTGGGCTGTTCTACTACTCCCAGCCACACAGTAGAGGGGGGGGGGGAGCACGCACATGCGCATGGATGTACAGACGTATAGTATGTGCACATACACGCTTTGTAAAATGACAGAGTTGGGATGTTCAGAAGTACCAAAAAAGTGCGTGTGGGGGTCGAGAGCAGAGGAAAAAATGGATTCTTGTCTTGTTTTTCTTTTCTAGCCGCCTGGCTGAGCTCTGAGAAAAGTGCATGTTTTGAAAATGTTTCTCATCAGAGGGAGCGGGGCTTATCTGTCAGTTGTTGTTGTTGGGAGTTTGTCTTTTCTGACAGGATGAGTTCGCAGCTAAATCAGGCTTTAAATTCACAGCGCGCCACATTCTGACCCGCCGTCCATAAATAGAGGGCAAATTAGACATTGTCATTGAGCATCACTGTCTCCTCGCTGCACCCCCCCCCCCCCCTCACATTCCATTTCTCTTTCTGTGACTCTCCTCTCGTTCTCTGTTTAAATCGTACTACACCCCACCTCGCCATCTCTGTTTTTTTCTTTTCTCAGTCTACCTTGCAGACTCCACCTCCCTCCATCAATTCCAGCCTACAGCATGAAAGCCTCTCCACACCACCAACTTCATCATGAATAAATTGCCAATTTAGTATACATGAAACGAGTCCCCAGCTCCCCAAACCAAGCGAGAGAGGAGGAGAGATGAAGTGTGAGCGGGAGAGAGAGAGAGAAGGAGAGAGAAAGAGAGAGAGAGAAGGAAAGAGAATTCAATTATTTTTTTGTCTCTATTAAGAACTCAAACCTCCTGCCCACTCTCCTCACTTGGCAATTAGTGCAGTAGATAATTAACGAGGAGAGGGCAGCACCACGCCACATCCCTAATCACGCACATTTCTATCTGGGCAAGAGTAAGAGACTGTTGGTATAATTTTGTTTCACATTACTGAGGCTAATTATAGAATCGATCCCCCCCCCTCCCCCGTGCAGAGCCACAAGGTGTGTGGCGCGGAGTGTTTTCCCCATTTGAACCTGCGACTTAAAGACAGCCACTCCTTACAATTCGGCAGGTATTCAGATCAAGGAGGCGCATCAACAAAAAAAAAAGATGTCCGACCGCTTGGACGTGGCGGCACGAGATCAGTGTCGATGATATGTTTGTGGCGTGCGTGCTAGAGCGCGTGTCGGCTCGCATACAGTCCTAAGCCCATGTTCTGTGATGTGACATTGCTGACTGGTGCTGACGTTAAGACTTTTCAGGGGGGAAGAGCGGGGGGGTGGGGGAGAAAAAAAAAGCCTGCATCAGGAGAAAAAGAGCTAGCCCATCAAGGGTGTGTGTGTGTGTGTGTGTGTGTGTGTGTGTGTAGGGAGGATGCAGAGCTACTCTGCAGTCTATCTACAGCACACGGATGAGGAAGGCGGTGTCCCCTTGATGTTCTGAATAGTGATTATTTTTATTTTTTGAAGCTGACCAGAAACATGCCCATATAACGTTTCCGTTCAAGGTGTGAGCCCGTGGCGTCGACACGGACAAACATCAATACAAGCAAGGACGGGGGGGAATAAATCAACTTTGTGAGCCACAACACACAAGCTGGTATTCTTCTCTTTTTGTTGTTGTTGTTGAAAGCACCGTGACCGAGCAATATGCAACAGTAGTATCAATCACGCTCGGTTGTTCGCTCGGCAGCAGAGTGGACGTTTCATTGAATGGAGATGGATAGGCAGGCCTGTTTTACAATTCCGCAGACAGAACTGCAAAAATAAATGAGCTATTATTGATATCGACCGTGGCCTCATATCAGTGCCATTGATTCTGTAGGGGTTGGGGAATAAAATAAAAGTGATATTAAAAACAAAAGAATGCAAAACCCTTTGAGGAGACTCAAACTTTTTTTTGTTTTTGGCACCAGTGATTCTGACACAACGCTTGTGGTTCAATGTATAGCCGCCGGATCAACGCCCTCCTCAAAGGGTTGGGGGGGGGTTGCAAATCACGAGACAACCGCTGCGGAGCGTCGCAACGTGTGATCACACGCACTCATGCAAGCTTGCTTTGCGGAAGCACATGCAGAGTGTGAGGACAGAGGGAGAGAAAGAGAGAGAAAAAAAACATGGTCTATGGTGTGGCAAAGCAATCAACGATACCAGCAAGTGGAAATACCTGTGTGAAAAACCTGCAAGACCTTTCTCTCTTCTGAAGCTGCAAATTCAAACAGTTCAGCTGTTAGCGAACACCTCTCAGTCGCACACACATATATATATATATATATATATACAGTATACACACTCACGTGCAAAACCACTTCATTAACATTACAATAAAACCACTTTTGTACGTATTGTTACTACCCCCCCTCCCCCCCCCATTTCCATTCATCCTCCCATAACCGTCTTTCTCCAGATCGTTTTTTCATCATCTTTCCGTACCTCCGTTCCTTTGTTTCTTCATTCTCTGCATCCACTGTCAACTTAATTGATGGCATTAATTACCACACCACTCGTGCGTGATTGGTTGCATGCGACTTCCTTCGCAGAAATTAGCATAATAAGCGGGCCAATTACTCAATTAGGTACATATAATTGGGCCATTATTGAAAACAAGAGGAACACTTTTCCTCTTCTATGGAGGACTTTTTTTTTTCTTTCTCCCACATATTTAACCCTTTTATTTTTAAACAGGCCAATTGGTCAACAGCCAAACGCAGATTAATTTATTTCACTTACACATGTTGCCGATTTACTTGGGATGG